AAGATTAGCCTCACATCGGTAACCATGGAAACCATGGCTCTGGCTAAGTCTGATACATCGAGCTAAACTCCAGTTTCCATTCCATCAATGTGAGCCACAACTCCGTTCCATCAAGGTGGTTAACCTGAATCCCAGCCTAGTAACCATGGTAACTTATGCTGCCGGGCAATCCTGGTCTGTAGCAGGATTAAGGTGAGGATTAGCTCCATCTAAGATCAAAAAATGTTCAATAGACAAGAACAGACACCTAAAAGACAGTTCTGCCAGTGCTTTTACACACTTACAACTGTCATGTAATGATAAAATAATATGTAGATCATAAAATATATAACATAATTAATCAAAAAACACTAATTATTAAAAAACAAATTAAAATGTAATAAAAATAAGATAATTAAAAAAAAAACTTACAACAATAAAGCCAAGCCAAGCATAGTGTGTGCAGTTTGCTGGAACCACACATTATAAAGGTCACACGCTGCAGCCAGTCTCTGACCACTGTGCAGTCAGTCTGTATTGCATTGAGGTTCTTTGCTAGCGGTACATTCCTGTATAGTGTTGGTGATGCTGAGAGGCTAAGGCAACTGTTTGCAGAGAGCTAAAAAGGGTGTATTTTCTATTCATTTTGATTATTTCTATAATGCATAGGGCTTGATGATCACATTAACATATGGTTATCTTTTATATTTATGAATTAACCAGGACACAAAGCAACCACATTAAAATGGGACACACACCATTGTGGTCTGTCTGTTCCTCATCCTATAGCACATTCCATACATTTAAGGGGATTTTCCTTATTTTGATATAATCAGGGATAGAGCTTACAGTTGACTCCCAAATGATGAGAAATAGATAATTGATTCACGATCACCTGCATTCACGTAACAGGTTTCCTCATCTCCACTGAACTAATGGATTTGCTAAATGTCATTTTCTACAATCAATAGATAAATGTCATGTAATTATTTCCTATAAACTGATCATTTCAGAAATGTCATAATCTACAGTCAATTATGTGATAAATGCGATGATTCACATAAAATAGTTTGATTAAATGCATCATCTGAACTTTACATAGGAATCAGTCGATAAATGTGATAACAGTCACTAATATTAATTTACACATGTGGTGAATTTCATTAGGCATACTTGAATTGTTAAATAGGTGTTCTTATCTACATATATTTTGTCCCTTTGATGTGGGATTTATAGAACATGATATTATGCTGACATGCTGAATTTTCTTTGTCACTTACACATTTAGCCTGTGGGCAATATTCTGCCACGTCACCTCCCTTGCTTTATTAATCGCTGCAGTATTGCCTTTGTTCCTTATCATGTGCTTATAGTCCTCATACACATAAGGAGCGTTTGCGCTGCTGCAGAAAAAGGCTCCGCTCGCTCCTTTCCTTTGCTTTTTGACATTCTGCAACATGTTTGGCACTCGACTAGTGTGGGCTTTTTATGTCTGAAATTTTCTTCACCCCTTCTTCGTCCTGCAATGAATGAGCACACCGGTTTTCTACTGCGCCACAGCACCACTATAGCGGTTGGGAGGTGTATTGCACATTGGTAGTAAGAGGCTCCAGCCTTGGACCAAGACGTTCATTGCCTCTTACTACCAATGTGCAATACACCTCCCAACCGCGACAGTGAAAATTTCAGACATCCGAGATAAAATGCATGTTTATTGAACAATAACGGATATACAAACACACGGCAACCCCCCGTACACCTTCCTAACATCTGTGCCTATGAGGTGAGTACATTACATGTTTGATTTGAACGTTTATGGAGACGTGAATCGGTCTAGACTGGGNCATGTTTATTGAACAATAACGGATATACAAACACACGGCAACCCCCCGTACACCTTCCTAACATCTGTGCCTATGAGGTGAGTACATTACATGTTTGATTTGAACGTTTATGGAGACGTGAATCGGTCTAGACTGGGAACCCCCAAATGAAAAACGGGGTTCGTTTTCAAGACGTTCATGCAATTGTGACAGGGTCAGTTCATAGGATGTTGCATGTTTTGTATTCTATTTCGTCCCTACTGACCGCCAGAGGCGGTGCATAAGCCCTGGACAACTTCGCCCGTGCTAGCGCATGTTGAGTACGAATATCAACAACGTCACCCGTGACCCCTGCATGAACTCCGGGAGGCTATATCTTCCGGTGTCAGCAGGTGATCTGTCCCTTCATTCTTCTCGCAAATTGCGCGTCGAGGTGTACATAAGTTGTTTGCTGTTGATTTCACGTGTTGCTGGCCCTGTGCAGCCTCGTGCCTCTGTGGTGGGAGTAACGGGCTGACGCTCGTCCTCCGAGGGACTGGCCAGCGTGTTGCACGATTATATGTAATTATTCCTGCTCTGGTATTCATAGAAATTGGAACTAGGGGTGCGGGGGGTGCAGCCGCACCCCCTCCCATCCGCACCCCCGCACCCCAGCCTCCCTACCCACTGCATTACACTTAAAAAAAAATAAAGAATCTGAATTTAAACTCAATTTGTCTGACTTACGTTTATCTCTTTCATATCATTAATGCATAGATCTATGCTTTTGATGTGATATGCAACCTGCCTGACTACATACAGTAGCCTTGGCATCCAGGATGTTGTGTCCATCCTGCAAACCTTGCAGTCCCAAACCCGCTCCATGCTGTCGGAGGTGGAGAAGCTCGTTAAGCTCTGTCTGGCCCTGCCCATGTCTGTCGTGGCAGCCAAGCGCTCTTTCTCAGCCTTGCGCAGGCTGAAAACCTGGCTGCACAACACCATGACGCAGGAGAGACTAACACATTTGACCATTATGAACGCTCACAGTGACCTTATGGATGAGAGCGATGTCTCGACCCTGCTTAAAATCTTCATCAATAGGTCAACTGAGAGAAGGTCCACTTTTGGAAATGCATGGAAGCTCTGAGGGCTGAATTCACAAAGAATGAACTGCGGCCACTGATAGCACCTTGAATTGCACTTCACTTGCACCCGCAGTTTGCTCCGTCTTAACGTCCTATTCACAAAGGATATTGCGCTAATGATAGGCCTATACCAGCACAAACACGCCCACAAAGTTTGGCAGCTGAGTGCAGTTTGCCCCTGATTTGCCCCTGATTGCAATTAGCCACAGCCACAAGTTATTTTTTTCACGTAACTGTGTGTGGCTATTAGCGCCGGTATTAATTAGACTTTGTTTGGCAAAGTACTGAATACTGTATACCCTCATGTAGTGATGTCTGCTGGTGAGTCAGTTTAACAGTGTCAGATGGGTTGAGGCTGTGGATTTGACCAAGTTTGACCACTTTATCACTATTCCCTCTCACTTGTAGCTGTTTTTTTGTTATCTTTTGAATTTAATATGAATTATAGAACTGTTTTTGTTCACGTTTGTTTCCCCCGTTTTGTAAAATAAATTATTGAAAGTTGCTTTTGAAGTGCGTGACAGAAGTGCGTTTTGAGAACGACCGCAGACTGTCACCTGTTCAACGCATCAGTATCTTCAGATGCCATTAAAGTAATAATGATTATAATAATGATGTCAAAATATTATTTACAGACTGATTTAACAGACGATCACTGCTGCCACGATCACTGGAAAGTCTGGGCAAGAGGCTTCCACAGAGGAGCGCCCAGTTTGC